CGGCAAGTTAACGACTTGTTTACTGGGCGTTTTTCTGCCGTTTCCATAACGTTAACGCGCCGTTTTTTGTGTTGACCGTTTACTGGAGATTAACTGGCCGTTAACGGGCCGTTTTTTTGGACCTGGGGTGGCGCTAGTATCTGATGCAAGTTTTAGGCTTCCGGTACAAATCTCATAATTCTTGATTAGAATATCATTCAGAGCTGGAAGATATCTCATTTTGATCAGAAATGTTTGCTCTATTTCCTAGTATTAAAACTTAAAAGTGACAGATGTTCTTTAATATATCTGTATAAATACATACATACAGGGTTGACACTTACAATTACTATGTTGTTGCGTTAAAATTTCATGAAACGATCCTCAGATACTATGTGATATTATTATTATTGAGAAACGAATAATGGGTTTATCCTCTTGGCTACTAATAGCCAATTACTTTCCACTCACCACAGGGTTTTCACATACCTTTTAGTATTATCTATTATGGCTTTGTGTAATTTTCGTTTTTTCATATTTTCGTTTGCATATGTATTTTATTTACTGATTAAAAACCTGTCAAGCTTCGTCAAGCAAGGAAACTGGGTGCATTCATTACCAATATCAGCAGGCTTGCTGCATATTCGATATGGGTTTCAATGAATCTGTTGTTTTTCTGAAAAAATCTGTTCACTAATTCTACACTATAAGGTTGGAAATTATTTATGGAAAATGCTCGGCGAATTTCAAAGAGTACATATGGGAATTCCTCGAGGATTTTCCAGTTTATAAAAAATTGAATTTCTAACAATCTAGAAAATCGTTGTGAATTTCCATAAATAATTTCCAAGAAAGTAGAAATTTCTTTTTGATTTTCTATAAACTGGAAATTCCTTGGTGGGTCTACACCGAGTGGCGGCGCGATCAGGTTGTATTGGGGTTGACCATGCTCATGCTTTTGAGAAATTTCTGGTGAACGTCTCCGATTTTGGGACTTTCCTACCGAAACTTCGCGCCACCACTGTCTCTGCCTAAATCAAAATTCTTGCTGGCATAGCCAGAATTGTGATTTAAAGTGGAAACTGTCAAAATTGATTTAAGTGTAATATGAGTGTCTTTACGTGACCAAAACTGATTGTAAAACAAAAAGATAAATAAGTATTTGGTCTAGAAATTCCTTGGCGAATTTCCTCTTTGAAGAAAATCACCGCGGATTTTGCAGTTTATAGAAAATCAACATTTTCTGGAAAGCTGGAAATTCGTCGAGGAATTTCTATAAACTAGAAAATCCCCGGCGACTTTTCGGTCGATTTTCTATAAACTGGAAATTAATTCAAGATTACAGTGTACGCTCCCATTATTTCACAAAACACTTAAATGTTTCTCCGTGAAATAAGACATCTCGGCGCTACTAGTATGGCTTTTTCAGATCATAATGAATCAATCAAAAGAAACAGAACAAAAACTGTAATTCCATCAAAAAAACAGCAAAATCCTATCTAAAAAGTCATTGGGCTCTTTTCTTGACGTTTTCTTGCGTGGAAATTTTAAAAGATTATAGTTGCTTTTTTTTCATCATAGCCACATATATACGTGTTTACCAGTAGATCCATATACTAAATGAAAGTTCTTTTTTATTGTTCTCTTTAACCAATTTTCAAGGAATGTTTTTGATGATAAGAAAGGATACGAATTTAATTCTACGGATAATGTTGTTAATTTCGTGTTCACTTAACCAAAGTGCACTTACGATAAGGCGTTTTAGGTTCTATCTACCAATCTTAGCCTGACAAACACAACTTACACTGACTATTTTAGATGATAGGTACTATATCATAAAGAAAGGAAAAGGGGCAATAAATGCCTATGTTACGATTTGGATAGACTATGTCTTACATAATCACCCAAACGTGGACCATAATGAGCTTTTTAACGTTGAAACAGACTTTTTGTTTAATTAATTAAACAAATACAGTTCGAATAACCAGAAATCACAAATAAAGACTATAGGAATGAATCAGTCATACGTCAGTCTCGAGAATCAATAGGCTCGATAGGTTCGGTCTCGTTTTAAGTTTGAGAAAAAAGTATTTTAACACAAATGTGTCTAGGGTGTTACAAAAAAGAAAAACTGAAATGAATGTAACGCCTATGTTAAGATCTAGAGGAACAAGAAGGAATTGTTACACATGAAGAGAAAAAATAAAACTTTAAACAGAATTACAGATTCTAATTACCTTGTAAAACTATATATTTAAATATATTCTAAGTCTTCACCTAAAAGCTCCTATGGCAAGTTGAGATATGACAGATCGTGGCAAGCGATTCCACTCCGTGCATGTGCGGGGAAGAAAAGAGTGTTTGGTTGCTCCTAAGCTTGTCTTAGGGATAGTCCACTGGCAACGATTATTCAGTCTATCCGACGTTCTACTAGTTAAAGGTGTGATCATGTTAAATCTTGAAAGAGCGCTTTTTCCTATCATAATTTTATGAAAATGTAACAGACGAAAATATTTTTGTCTTTTACTTAAATCAGGAAAATTTAATTTGTTCATCAGTGATGAACGGCTCGTTTCATAGTCATTACAAATTATTCTGGCTGCCACTTTTCGAACAGAAACTAGTAAGTGTAAATGCATTTTTGCAGCAGTATCATAAACAACAGACAATAGTCCAGGACTGGCATTATGCATGTTTCAAAGATGGTGTGGTGTTCAATGTACGGTGCATTGCGCCTAACATGTGTCTACACTTTTTGGCTACATTAGAAATATGAGATTCCATGTTAGATTGTGCGATAAAAAAACTCCTAACAACTTAATATTGTTTTCCTTAATCAAAGCCTATCCTGATAAGAAAAAGCGAACTTCCTAAAGTAGAATGCGGTGTAGTTGTTGAAAAGGGCATAAAAACGTACGTATAGATTTTTAATTTTACCAGCATTTTGTCATACCAGTCAGACATTGATAAAAACGAGAAAAAGGATGGGACCTAATATACTTCCTTGGGAAACTCCTAAAACTGCAGGTACTGAACTGGATCGTTTATTGTTAACGGAAACAATTTGTTTTCGTTCACAGAGATAGCAGCTGAAACCACTGGTAGAGTGGCCCATCGATACATGCTAGGAATAATTTTGTGAGTAGTAAACGCTTTTGAGAAATCAGATGCCATCCCTATGACCTTATTTCTTTTTTCAAGATGCTTACTTAACTCAGTGGTGACATGGAGGAGTGCATCAGCGGTACTAGATTGGGGATGGAAACCGAATTGTACACCGAATTGAGAAAAAAATTTGATTGCTCCAAATGATGTAGAAGTGCTTGTTGGACTAACATTTCGAAAACTTTACTGATCTTCGATAATAACGGTATCTCACATAAGAAAAAGCGCTATACTCTGAAGGTCTGTTCAAATGAAAGCGTAATACAAAAGTGAAATGTCCGTTGGACACAGTCGGAAGACCACATCCTTGAAATGAGGGACACGTGGGCGAACAGATTTTCGTGGAAACAACAAATTTATAAATGTGGAACTGTCCCGCTGATGACTTTCGGAAACTCTGCAAAAAGACAATATCGAAGACTACAAGATCCAAAACCAATACTGAATAAGAATATTGGTCTTGGCGCTTGTCTAGCAGCATCGTGAATTTAATAAGAATCAAACTAAAGAATCACTATGATATTTTTGTCTTTGCCGTTTATTTTTGTTTATTTTTATTGACCTATCGAGAACGCTTGAAGTTTTTTGACCTATCATCCTCACTGACTACGGTGATAAAATGAGAATTCAGTGCTATTCGCATACTATACAAGAACCACAATATTAAACTACTGCGATAATCTGGTTCTAGTCGATTTAACATATCTTGTACAGAAATATTTGAAAAAAGTGATATTATTTATTCGCCTTGTAGCTTTCTGAATTATAACTATAAAATCACTTATAAAAAATAACTTGACATAAGTTTGTGTTCTTTATGTAGTCTATTTGACTGCCGTAAATGTTTGATAGTGTATACTAGAGTAGGTATAATAATGATTAAGATATTTATTTAAATTCGTACGACAAATTCTCCATCAATATGAACAACTCTCATTTGAATTGGACTTGTTCGATTTCGGCTATCATTAGTATTGTACTTTAGATATTGTTTATTATTTGTTGTGGTTTTTTCTAATGGTTTCGTATTTTTCGGTTGTTGCTGATGATCATGATATCGTCCACTATTCTCATTCATAATATGCTGATTTAATGATCCTGTCGATTGCACTGACAAAACTGATGGTGTTTTTGTTAATAACTTCGTTTGATGATCTGTCAAGGATGATGAAGAAGCGGAACATTGTGGCAATGATGGGCAGTCAAATGGTGATGTAATATGATTATTGTTATTATTTTGTTGTATTACTTTTGTTGCAGATGACTGATAATGTTCGGGTACATTTAATGTTGAATTTATTGATGATACATACAGAACAGGATTATCATTCAGAGTACAAGTATCATCATTTGATGATGTTTTTGAAACAGATGATAATGTTTCTTTCTTGTTTTGATTTATGATCAATGTTTCCTCATGATTATAAGACAATGGATTTAGTTTATTTACATTTAATATTGAATAATATGAACATTTATTGTTCTTCTCAGCATTATATTCATATGATTTGTCACTATTATCAATATAAGTTTCATTATGATCAGAATATGTCTCATATGACAAATCAAATTCATTTGTTGTCGTCATTGATTCTAAAAAATATCTAAGAGAACATCTGCTTCAAAGTTTAAGATCCTTTGGTATCCAATTACATTTTTCAAACTGAAAAATTTTACTCTACAGTTTGATAATTGGTACCTCTTCTATAGGATTATGTTTAATCTCTTAAAATTTTTATAGTGTAAATGTAACAGCCAATTAGCATAAAAAATAAGATCTGAATATTTGTACGGTTTCATCTAGAGTACTCATCCTTTCAGTTTTCTAGAAGAAAGTCAAGTGTTTGAATTCTTTATTATTCTTTGAAACAAACATAAAGTCTACCTGATTTATTTTTATGATATCTGTAAGAATTCAGTTTATCTCAAATGAAAGTTTAACAGAATTTATGATAATCAGTTTTTCTTAATTACCTACCAGTTTGTCTTTTCTCCTATATGATGTATTTTGCAATATTATTACGTATATTTCAACATAAATTGATTTTTCACATTTTTATATTGAGCAATCATATATATGAAGATATGTGTATATAAATATATATATATATATATATATATGACCGTGTATATATGTGTTCAGAGTGTACGTGGGTTGACAAATGATAAATGATTATAATCTTCAATATATACTCTTATTTCTATTAAAAGATACGTACAGTAAATGGATGTATACAATATACAGAAATTTTGAGCACATAAAAAAAACTTTTCATGTATATCCCTAGAAAAAAGAAAAAAACTTGATTCAGACCTAATATTTATAGACGAAAAGTGAATAAAATGCATTTCACAGCAACTACTTGCACAAATAATATTGAAAAATAATATTGAAAATTAAGTGAAACAATATCCGTATAAGACTTTTTTCTTTTTTTTTTTCAATCTATAATCGAAACCATAAATAAGACAAAATTTTTCTGCACTATCATCTCAGTAAAAAAATATCCTTAAAAACCATTTTTTACTTCACATTATTTGGACAAATAAAAATAAAGGAGACTAATCAATTACTTTTTTGCTCCACCATTCTGAATTACTCTATTCATATTTCTTGTTCTATTTTTATACAAACTTTTTCTAAGGTTAAAGAAACTCGAATAAACATCCGTTATTTCAGTTTATATAAAATGTGTTCTTGTAATGTGACGCAAAAGTATATAAAATACATATAATGAAATAACGTGACAGATACTAAAATTAAATAATTATAACATGTGGTATTCCTAGCCAAGGTTCACTATACAAATATTTGATATCAGAAGAAAATTAGTTCTACCACTATCTAACAGCAGTAGTAGCATAAAAAACTAGACTGTTTAACCATATAAGACGATCAAAATAAATTCAAATCACTATTATAATAATTCGTTCTATAGACTATCCTTGAATAAAATTAAAAACGTTATCTAATCAATATTCATTCTTATGTTCTTTAAGTCAGCCTTCTTGATTGAAGCGGGAAAGAGAAGAATAAAAGATAAGTCTTATAGAAATATTGCATATGCTAGATTTTATTCCATTTAGTACAATGTAACATTGTCTGATTCGTACGTATATTTTGATTTTTCGCATTTGTATTGATGTACATGACATTTTTACTGTTTTGTTCGTAATTATTATGTCACCTTCTATTCATTGTTGAATTATGTAAAAACAGATAATTATAGTGATTAAATTAAATTTTATACATACATGGAATTTTAATTGAATTGGTATAAAACATTTTAGATAAATCGAGTGATGAACATGTAAATCATTTTTGTACCCGGAGTTTTTTTTTAATATCGTTCTCTAAAAGCTAACATGTATATGAGTTCTCCCGTCATAGTAGACAAAAATATTAGTTTTGCTAAAAAGTCTGCAACAGACGTCAAAACGTCATTATTAAAAAAAAAATTAACAATAATTACAGCAACATTACAAAAAAAAGAATGACAGAACACAAATGACTAGATTTTACGTTAGTATTCAGCAAATTTCCATAATAAAATATATAATGGTGCTGGTACAAATGCGAAAGCTAACAATACTTTTAAACTTTCCAATTTTGTCAAACTAATTAAACCACACAATAGAAGTATAACATGTAGACAATAACATATCCAATTTCGAACATCTCCACGTAATAAACGAACAAATTTGAACCATTTCTAAACAGAAATACACAAAATATTTGTAATAAATTAAATTTCTCAATTAGAAAACCAAATTTATTTAATAACATTAAAAATAGTGTATCCCATCGGAAATATCCTAGAGATAATCATTCAAACGAGAGCAATACCTGTTGTGTATGTCCGACATGTGTAAAGTGTACGGCATTAAAAATAATTGCACTAACAATGGTTAAAATTGGAAAGGAAAAATCTAAATATAGAAAAATAGATATCTGATACATTTAGAACATTCTGACAACTTTTTCACACTTACATATAAGCCCAGCCGCAATGGCATGAAATATCATTAAACATGGGTAGAAATGTAATGCTGTATAAATTGAATGATAAACATTTTTTTGATACAACACAAAAATGAGAAATGGACGTAATAATAACATCAACAGAGTGGCAAATATATACAAGACAAATACAGCACTTTGGCTAAAAACAAAGATTTTTTGTACACAAGAAAAACGAGAGAGAGAGAGAGAGAAAGATCAACTTACAGTGGATAAACAACTTCATATGAACATCGAAGTTTTTTGGTATAATTCACAACAGGATTATAGAAGACGGGATAAAAATCGCTTAACATCTTAATTTGACATACATGAATATTTAATTTACCGTAGGGAGGAAATACAAGTAATGTTAATAAAAACGCAATACTAAGTTCGACAAATGATAATACATACACCGTAGACAACCTAAAATATCAACATATATTGGATATTGAGCAGTCTCAAAGTGATTATTTTTTAAAATAAAATAAAATTATAGAAGCTAGATATGAAATTTATAATACAGTAACTCGAACATATTATATAATGGCACATTTTGTATGTTTTTTTACCTAATTAATATGTAAAGTGATAAGTCCTTTTGTTTCCTCAATGAATATGTAAAGAATCCCCAATGACAAATTAGAGCTAATAAGGTCATAAAACATAAGTACATGACATTGTACAACGATAAACTATCTTCACACGGTAGACAAATTCCGTTCTCTGAACGATAACCGCGAGTACATGCCTACAATAAAAGAATACGTAAAGTAAATAGAATTAAAGACTGAAGAAAGTACGTACCCCACATGTTGTACTATTGTCTTGTATGCCACAATATTTACCAGGACATGGTGACTTTTGTTGCTGTTGTATGAAATATGTTGACATGAAGAAGATCAAGAAACATTTTGAAACATAACACAGTTTATCTTAAAACAATAGCATACGACTACGATGTATAAAGTGAGTACCAACAAAATACAACAGATTCAGATATGGCGTAAGGGAATTAAAAATCAGGCTCGAATCTCAAATTACAAAGCTTGCTATTCGCCTATGTTATCTGCGATAATAATTCTTTCAAACAATTAAAGACTATATACAATTTATAGACGGATTTCTACGATTAATAAACAAATTTATATCTTATAAATGTACAAAAACAACTATAAGAAAAAACTTCAAGATGATTGTTGTTCAATTGATTGTGCTATCGGTAATGCAGTTGTAATTAGTTCTTGAACAGAATTAACGACCAAATTATCTCCCGTCGAGGTTGTTGCTTGTTTTAATCGACGTATTTTACTTTTATTCGATGTGGATGTTGCCGAAGATGCAGTTGATTGTTTTTTATTGTCATATTTCATTTGTAACAATGATTCCTTTATTGTCGCTGCTTTAGACCATACGTCGGCAAATGGTATTTTATGAAGATAGGCAATAGCTTCTGAAACAGTAAAATCTTCTTAAATATTACTAGCACAGCAGAAAAGTGAAATTAACAAACCGATAAGAATTTCAAATTCTCCATGTTTTAATAGATGACCAGACGCATCGGCACCATAGACATGTCGAATACAATTACGACCAGTTCCCGTATATGAATTTGTGACTTGAGCATCTTTTAAATCAATGTTATTAATTATCTGAATGAAGATAAATATTAATTTGGAAAAATTCGCACATTTTTATACGTTTACCAATTCTACATTTGGATCATCATCCTCAATTTTATTCACGGATGTAAGTTTTGATGTCTAAACATGTATATGCCATATAAACAACGAATTATTTATTTTGGTAGTTATTTTCTCACTTACAAGTCGAAGAAAATTGTTGACACTCGTCACAGCATTATTCATTTGTCCTGGTAAATGTTGTGTATATCTTAAATTTCTTTCTAATTTTTCATTCTGTAATCTAATTACATTGTATAGTTCTGTCACAGCATCTTGAAACGGTTTGGTACTCGTTGCAAGAGCTCAAAAATAAAAAGAAATGCAGAAAAAATGAATTAAACAATTATTTTCAATACCAATTTTAAATGCATCACTGGTAGTAAGTGATGCTGATGGATCTAGATGGGCTACATCCTCCATATGATGATCATTATTGTTTGATTGTTCGATATTTACTAAATAAAAGAAATAGATCTTTAGAAAGATATCGAATATAAATTAAAAATTAGATTTAAAAAATCGTCTTGTTAGATCTTTTAAGTCGATCGTTTATCGAAAAAATCGTATCATCATTCACAAGACGAATTCTTATTCAAATTGGGCAAAAATTAATTTATTTGACACACTTATAGCACAAATTATCTTTTATTGCTTACGTACTCATACTGTGTCCAACTGGTTCAAATGTGACCGATGATTTAAACTTTTTATTTTGTTGAATTGCATCAGTATATGGTTCTTGTAGATAGGTCATTTGTGTTTGAAGTATTTCATCTAAAACCAATAAGTAATAAAACAGAGAAAAGTAAAAATTCTAAACATTTTTTTTTACCATTTTGTGCTGTTGTCGAAATTGAAAGTGAATTATTTTGCACGGCTGTAAATGGTTGTCGAGTAGATGGATCGTGAATAATTCCTCCAGTATTAATTTCACAGCAACAATTTGGACAACGAATTTTATCTTGAATAAGTTCAAATAATTTTTGTGATGTTTGAGCTAAATGATGATCACGTGGTAAAGCATGAGAAATTAATTCAAGTAATTTTGTTATTTGATCATTATCTAATTTGTTATCATTACAAAAATGATGAATGTGTTTATGATAAGATTTAATGGTCACCCTTGAGCCATTGTACAACGGTTTATTTTCCATAATTTCTAGAAGAAGAAAATTACATGAATTTTTAGTATTCTATGTTAAAAAAATTATTGTAACAGTCTACTTACGATTATCATGTTCAAAGTCATTTTGTTCCATTGTTATTGTCGTCCATGATGAATGATTATTTTTTTGATTATTATTTCCTGTGCACACTGTTGTAGTTATTGCATTTTTTGGATTTGTTGAAACATTTATTGAATTACCTTGAGGCTAAAATTATAAAAAACAAATATTAAATTAGCGACGATAAGTAATTGAGCAATCGTACCACGCATTCTAGACTTGTATACTGAGTTGTTGAAGGAGTGGAGTAATTTGGAATAACTATATTTCGTCCTTGCTGATAAACATGAGTAGCAGGAATTGAATATCGAACTGCTTCTAAAGCAACAAAATTGAAAACTACTGTATAGCAATAATCAAGAAAAATATGTAAATTACTTACCATTTTTTTTCCCTTCATCAATATAGACCTCCTGTGGTATTCGTTGATATATAAATTGTTGATCTGAACCACAGCTCATATTCAATCTGAAAAATGATCAATTTTATTATATAATATTAGTTAGAACAAAGTTCACCTATCTACTGCTGGTCAGAAAAGCTCGCTCTTCGTAAAGTTATAGTAAAGTTTGAAAAATTTTTAACATGGTACTTTCTGCTCCTCTCATTTTCTCTACTAAAGATTCAATGGTAATGAGAGAAAGTAGAATATGTCGTGTCAGCTCGCTATTCTCTCAATTTTCATGTGAACCACTGTGCAAAGATGAAAAATGATACCAATTTGAAGCATTCGAAAAACTAGAATAAAGTATTACCAGTAGAGTTGATAGACAATGTTATCTAAATAATAAAATCTATTCAACATCTTTTACACTTCATTTCCAAATCCATTTTTCCGCAGAAAAATGGGAAGAGCTCAATGCCGTGTAATAGGCATTGAGTTATATCCTTAGTGCTACTTTGCCGCATAATCAAGAGCTTACAATATGCGTAAAATGAACCACGAGCTGGCCAAAGTGTAGAAAAAGTTCAGAGTGCGGTGCCTATCATGTCATGTAAAACGAAATTATATGGGAAACTCGCAGTCACGCGATTCTAGAATAAACATTCGGCAGTACTTATGGTATAGAATTCAGGTCTAAGTCGCATGCTTACTAAATTAAAACATATTAAATTCAACTGTTTTTAAACTTGCCTTTATAAGAAAATTTTCGCCAGACTTCAACGTTTTAAAACGTTCTACGAAAAGTCAATCAAATGTTTATTCTTCAATAGTGTCTTACTTTCGTAGAAATTCTAAATACCCGATAGAGCACCTCTTTATAACACTAGGGCTTGAGTTCTGTCAACCTTGAACAATTTACTGGAAATATGTTGAATCCATAGAATGCTTCAAAATATTGTTGGATCATAGTTGTTCATTAGTGTAATAGCTACAAGGTCAAGATAAGCTACATTGAAAGGTATATGACTTTTTTCTCACTGAAAACTGAACTTACTGAACTGACGCTAATTGGTCAATCATAAATGACTCATCTTTTATCAAAAAACTGCATGTAATGAGGCCAAAACAATGTAAAGATGGAGCGAATGAACAACAAACTCAGCTTCATTGTTGTCAAGCGCGTGCGTAGTACAGTATAATGTGTAGCGAAGTGAGAGTTTTAGAACTTGTTTAGATTCTCTTGATTCTCGTACATTAACGCGAGTTCATGTTCTCGCGTTATCAAGACTCATCTTGCGCCCTAATTTTCTGATTTATTGCTGACGCTCAGTTAGAAAGTTCGAACTTTCTTATAGAAAACTAGGTTTTCTAATTTTGTACACTCATTCTTTGCCATACGGATTTGTAATTAACAACAAAGTATTTCGTTTCTAAAACTTTCGCTCTTGCCACTCAGTTGAGAAGAATAGAAACGTTCCACAAACCCTTCCTCACACAGTGGGCATTCAGGTGAAAATTTTGATCAGAAAAAAACAGTGAGCTTGCTTTTTCGTAATTTAAATAGTGTTTCATATACTTCGGGTGACGGCCGATTTAACGGCGAAAGAATTTTTATTCTACGACTTTTCCTTCTATAAAAGATTTGAAATGCAAAAACACCATGTAAATGCGCTATTTTTTCGGAAAATTTCGATTTTTATTGAAGGATAGTAAATTAGAATAAAA